TTCTATCATCTCTAGAAGTACCAACCATAGTCGTTGTTTCTGTCCACTGGTATATTCCCATTCCCAACATAACAAGCTCTCTTGTAGACTTCATGAAGCCCACTTTGCCTAGTACATCTTTCTCTTCTAGCTTTATGGTGCAATTGTTTGCCATGAGGATTTTTCTGCATTTGCTCTTGGTCCACTCAATGATTCGCTTGAACCTTGTATCTTTCAGTTGATTGTTGAACAACATTAATGATTCAATTTCACTTGTGGATGTCCCATCTTGTACTAGGCTCTATTGTACTTTAAGTGTGTTGTTTTTACTATCTCATGCTTCTCTATTTTCACAGTGTTAACATTCTATATTAACCCATAGACATAATTTCCACAATTCCCATACAGGTAATTATAGAATTAATATAGGACTTGAACAACACTTAGTAGCTCTTTCAGAATTGTACAACACCTCATTTATGTATCATTCATTGCCTTGGACAATCATGTATTATTTTCCGTGTTGTACTTGTGATAACACTATTCCCACTGCCAAATAATTGGCGTCTGAATCTTCAAGAGAAGGTTTTGCTAGTGACCATCTTTTTCTCCAGTTTATTGAAGGATATTTAAGTAATTTGTGTATAGGATGAGCTATGTCATAGAATGATTATACAATATAACGATAGTAAGAAAGTAAGAGGCAGAATGATAAATAGGATATTTTGTAAAATAAACGGTGATACCCCATAAAAATGTGTGATTAGGACCAATGAGAAGGAAAAACTGTATTCAACGAATTCATTTGGGTGCTACTCCTGTATACACAGGCCTTGAAGATTTTTGAAATTATACCTTTTACAAAATATTTATCCTACTGCATTTCGAGAGTTTTAAAGATAGAAACTCAAGGTGTGAATTTTGGCATTTCACTTTAATTTATGCACACAATGTATACAAACATTGGTTATCTACAATGACTTATTCAAAAATTTGACATTATATACACAATAGCAGTTACTCTTACAAACTACTCCCCATTAAATGTATCAATTGCCTTGAAAAAGTACTACATTGTTGCTATTTTATCAGAGCTAAATATTTTCATATAAATCTTCAGATTGGCAACAATTCCTTTTGTGTCAGGTTTTTGTGGTTTCTCATCAGAGAAAACGAGAACTATTTTGGCAAATCTAAACTCCAAATGCATTAGTTGAGATTTCTCATTTTCATTTTTTTTTTGAAGTAAGGAACCAATCAACCTAGCCTGACTAAGTGAAGAGTCCACCAAGGGTCATGAGTTGTTTAACGTCTTTGTGTTCTGTTTGTTCAGTGTTGATATTTTCAATTTCCTTAGTGCCTAATCTCTTTTTGCTAGATCTGTTTTTTACACTTTTTTCATTATAGTCTTGTGTTTTTTAAGTGTGATGTAACCTTCTTGAAATTACTAAATGTGCTTGAAGACATTTCTTAATGATTTCAGATTTTTTTGTTTTACAAAGGACATTTGAAGCCAGATGAAGCTGATGGGTGCTATTCAACTTTCGTTCATAGTTGATGAAGCCAAATGACTGCTCCTCTTCAAGGTGGTAACAGGAACACTAGTCTGCCCAATAGTCATTAACACTATAAGTCATTAAAAATAAAAGAAACAAGAAGAACGAGAAAAGAAACAAGAAGAGAGATTACAGCAGAGGCAACTGGAACAAGAAAGGAAACAGGAAGAAAGTCAGCAGCAACTACAGGAAAGTCAACAACAGTGGCAAGAAGTACAAATGGAAAATATTAGTAAATTTAAAAGCGAATTAGATACATTAAAGGACGATTTATTGTCTTTTACACAAGGAGGATACATTAACCATCGACTTAATCAGCCCCAGACAATGACAAGCCCCTTCTTAGACCCTGCAGCTAAACCCTAATGCAGACATATTCAGTCCCGTTAGAAGTCACATCCCAGATATGAATGTCAGTAATAGAAGTGATCCAGTGCGAAGGAAGCCACAAGAATTCGATGGGAAAGCACTGTGGGAAGCATATAGAGCACAGTTTGAGTTACTGGCAGAGATGAAC